TGTTTTAATAAATTAGATATACACAAATTTAATAGATGCAAATTTAACATGAGAATACTATATAACTTAATTTTGTTTATAAATGAATATTGTTCAAACATGAGAATACAATTACTATAATCATAATACAATGTTATTCAATGTTTAGAGAATGTTTCTCCACTTTTTTAATTGTGTGAACATATTAAAATTTAATCAAATATGTAAAATATTATTTTGAAATATTTTGTTTAAAAGAATGAAGGAGGAGGTTTCAAAAGTGTATCTGACCCACAAAATGATCACATATTGAATCACTGACTTCAATCTCCTCCGAAACCAAACAATCAATAATAATTTAATCGACACGTATTAAAAATGGGGCCCCTCAAATTTGAAACCTAAGACGGTTGCCTAGTTTTTAAAGGCATTGAGTCGCCCCTGGTCTTTTATTGATTTCCTCAGGATACATTTCATGGCTAGTTTGGTAATTGCCGAATTATCCCCTTTTTTGTTTGCAATAGTCCCCATTTGGTTCTCTCTGTCAGTCTCTCGGCCACTACAAGCTTTTTTCTTTTACCATTTGATTTAACTCAATCGCTGATGTGAATATTACTTCCTTCTGTATTAGTTACTAAATCACTTTGACTAATTATTTGTAATAATACTACTCCCAAGCTAAATATGATATGGTGTCTATTAGTCAACCCAACTTTAGAAAATAAAAGATATTTCAGTTAGTATATACAAGTATACATAATCAGTAAGTTAAAAGCTTAGAAATATTACTTCGAAAGCTCTGTATATCTATGTATCCAGGGGTGTATTGGTTGATCCATTGCATTGATGGATCGACGGATCCAAAATCAGTTAACACTCCATTGAAATCTTGCATATAATTATTTTAATGAATTACCTATTTAAAACAACAATTATACAGTGAAAATTTTACCTCATCAACAAGAATGTTGCCGATCTTAAAATTTGTACAAACAAGATCCGGTGGTGCAAATGCTGCAAACCCAATGCAGCGCTAGTCAAGGCTTTCACAATGTTTCTCCAACCTAATACTAATATAGAACAATAGGATAGAGAGGTTAAATCCGACTAAAAAGAACTGTGTTAATTGCGAGCAGATGCAGAACAATAATATAGAACAATAGGATAGAAAGGTTAAAGCGAACTAAAAACAAACTGTAGTAATTGCTTATAATGTTGATTGATCCCTTATAATGTTGTCCCGCCAATTTAAAATCACATAAAAGTCTTAAACAAAATCAAATATATTAGCATGATCTAAAAACATAAAAGCATAACTTAAGCACAAATGATTTGGCTAAATTCTCATAGTGATACTATGATTTATAAAAATAAATATCAATTCTAGTTAATAAGATTTTAGCTGTTTGTTTGTGATATATTATGTTGGATATTATTATAATTTTTTTTGTTATTAATATGAATATTTCAGAAGTTGAATTAAAAGTTCTAAAATATTTATTATAATAAGTGGATAGTTTTTTTTATTTATTAAATTTTTACATTTTTATAATAATTAATTAATATTATAATAAGTAAAAAAATAAAATCATAAAATTTATTATTAAAATTTTGGAGGTGAAACACAACCCCAGTGTTAATTCGTTTTTTATAATAGTTAACATAAGTAAGCACATGTAAGATATTTTTAAACGAAAATTATAAATATTATATGCTTTTGATTAGTTGTTTTCTTGATTTTATAATAACTAATTGAAATTTAAATTTAAATTAAAAGTAATATTTAAAAAAAATTGTGCTGGCCCAATATGACTCCCAACTCACTCAATAGTATATAACTTACATTTATATTTTTACATATGAACTCAACATATATGCGTATCGTTGGATGGATTGTCTAAATTCTTTTTTTGATGGTTTCATCGATCGAAAGTTATATAACACTCCAATAAAATTTTGCACATAATTATTTTAATAAATTAGATACACAAATATTTAATAGATGCAAATTTAACAAATATAATATGAAATTTACATAAAAAAGAATATTATTTATCTTAATTTTGTTTATAAATCAATGTTCAAACATGAGAATACAAATGCTATAATCATAATGCAATGTTATTCAATGTTTAAAGAATGTTTCTCCACTTTGTAATTGTGTGAAAATATTAAAATTTAACCAAATATATATAAAATATTATTTTGAACTATTTTTGTTTAAAAGAATGAAGGAGGAGGAGAAACTGATGTCTCCACTTGTTTTGTCGCATATATGTTTGCCTTTTCCTGCACAATACAATTTGTGAAATAAAAAGCTCTCAAGCACTCAATTAACTAGAAAATAACAAAAATAATTCAAATAATTATACAAATATATGATATGTTGTATCAACAAATAAAACATATTATTTAATGGTGCATATTAGCATAATAAGCAAAACAATCAAAAGAAAAATGATAAGTAACGTTACAGTATAAAAGCAGTATAATATTCACTAAATTTACATGCATGAGTAGTACCCCGTTATAATTAAAATGGTAAGTCATTCCACAGAGTATTACTCACTGATTTTACTAGCATGACTAGCCCATCATAACGATGATCAACGCAATGCACATTTTTTCACGATAGAAGTTTCCTAACTAGGTTATCCCAATAAGGTTCTGTAGAAATAAAATGAATTATAAATCGATCTAGCTCGTCTGATGTGAATTCAAGAAAATCATTCTCGATAGGGCATCCTTAACGGAACATTTCTTCTTTGAGTCAAGGTCAAGAAGATCATCCTTAATGGGGCATTCCTTTTGTCTGCAGGGTAGGTGGTTACATACCGAAGATTCTGTAAAGAAGAGAAAAATATTCAAACATAGAACTACATCCTCGATATTAATTGTCATTTAGTTCTTATTGTTGTGGTTTTCACCTCTTTCTCTCAACAATCACCTCCTTCTTCCTTAACTCTACGAATTTATATTTCTCTCTGAATTACATGTATGATGCTCTGTTGGTACGGTGAAGTTTGGTAGCTTTAGAAAAACCATTTATCACATTGGTTACTACGAGTGAATAAAAATTAATATCGTAGAATATCATTTAAATCAAATTATCAGCCTTAATGATACCAATAGAATATATCAACCTTAACTAATAAACAAAATTACCAGCCTTATTAGTTAAGCGAAATTATCACTTGGGGCATCTATTATAATTATTTAAGGAGTATATATTTGTAATTAATTTGTATTTGTAGGGCATTTGCTTAGTTCCCGATTAAAACAAAATATCAATGTATACAAAGCCAAATGCCTAGTAACAAGTGTAACGACAATAAAACAACTAAGCCCAAAGTTCATTCACAAAATTCAGTAGAGTGTCTACACTTTCATTTCCAACTTGAGACTTGAACTTAGAAACTGAATGGTTCTCCACTGTCATGACAAAGTCGATGTCGAGCTTCTATCCTTAGATAAGAATAGATTCTTGTAACTCTTGTTCCGGTTTGAGGCTTGAGGATTGTTATTTTTTTATGTTGTTCTTTCCTAAACACATTCAAGTCTTAATCCATTTTAAAAAGATCTTTAATTAAATTCATCTATGAAATTATGACAAAAATCATCAACACGTTGGAAATCTAATTACATCTATGGAATTAAGATTGAAATAATCAAAGTTCATCTATAGAAAGCAAGACGGAAATCATCAATATGTTCATGGTTGTCAATTTCAAATTGAGTTCTTTATTTGCCTAAAAGCTCAAAAACACCGTTAATAACAAATATAATTTTTAGACTAGCTATGAAAAAGTTAATAAAATTTCAAAAGTGAATAAGTTGTCTTAACTTTATATATATATAATTCATGTATTTTTACTTTAAAGTTCATGTCATAAAGCAGAAGTCTAGACAAAAGGGTTGAAATTAAGCCCTATGCCCATGAATTTGGTGGAAATATATAGGAGAGAAAAGGCTCTGTGACAAAAATGGAGACATAAAAAATTTACCGAAAAAGATTAAAAAAAAATGTCCTTAGATTATGTTAGTGAATAAAAGTGTTCTTTATTTATTGTTCGGTCTTAAAATATGCTTATTTTCAACATTTTGATCTAACGTGCTTTTATTGAAGACGTGTTGATCTTATTAATGATATTTTAGAACTCAAAATTTGATTTATATTAGTTTTGATATTAAGAGTTGAAAAAATATATAATAAAGCTTTTTAAATAAAATAAAAAAATTATTTATTTTTAATACAGAGACAAAATACTATGAAATAGAGAAAGTAGGTGTTTCCTCCCTTGTAAATCGAAAACAAGACCAGTAATATAAATTTTACTATACCTTAAGAGACTGTTTCAATTGCTTAAGCATGCAGTAGGTCAACTTGCATACTTGAGTACTCTGAGGGTATTTCTATAATTTTCTATGGTTCTTCCGTTTTAATTTATTTGTCATATATTTTTAGTGTTTTATATATATTTAAAATTATTATACTATTTCAAGTGCTCAAGCAAGCAGCAGGTCAACAAGCTTGCTTGAGCACTTTGAGGGTATTTCTATAACTTTTTGTGGTTCTTTCATTTTGATTTTTTTTTTTGTCTTTTATATCTATTTAAAAAAATGCTTAGTAATATAATTAACAACTTAAAATATCTAAAAATATATTAAAACTAATTAATTCTCCAAATTTTATCAATGTCATATAAATTAAGACAAAAAATAATAATATGATCCACTGTTGGTGTGGTGAAGTGTCGTCTTGGTTAAATAAAAATTGATATAGTAGAATGTAGAGTATGTTTCCTCTAAGCGATGCAGTATCTTGCCATTTCTGGTGTCCTCAGTTTCTTTCAAAAAAAAGTTAATTCTGGAGCTAACTGCAGAGAGAACAATTGCCACTTAGAGATCTGTATTGTTTAAATTTTATTAGTTAGCATAGCACCTCTATTTTTTTTGTCTTTTGTTGTGGTACATGGTAAATCGAAACATGTAATAAAACCATAAATTAAATCCAAAGCACAACTTGATAGCTAAAATACTACTTAGAAAACATCTGAAGTCAACATATTTTGGAAGTCCACAAAGATTAAGCACAAAAAGCACACCCCTATCTTACCATGTTGCTGCCACAGAACACCTAAGGTCCTTCAGATGCTAAAAAACTTCTTTCATTTCTGACCGTTTATTTGGTGTTTTATCCATACACTGTCTTGTAAGTTCTGTAATTTTACATCCATCCCGAGGATCAAAGTCGGTATCATCCTGAAAACTTAGGTCGACATATGAATGCCTGGACTTGTACTCATTCACGGCCCACTTTTTTATTGCCGTACCTGTATATTTTTCCTTGTCAAGAGCTCTCTTGCTTGTAAGATTAAAGAGCAAAACACCGAATGCATAAACATCAAACTTGACAGTGTATGCAGCTGCAATGTAGTATTTAATAAACATGGTTAGAACAATGGAAAAAAAAAACTCCAATGGGATAAATAAAATGAATAACGAACTTGACAAAAAGCAACTAATTAATGCAAAGAATGTCCCATATCAATTAGATGATTGTCTATCACCCACCTTTGACCCCAATCCTAGCCATTGTCCTGTTCCAAAGGAAATGCAAACTTTCCATGCATGATGTTTGCTTTCTAGTTGCAGTATGGACATCTTGTTGCTTTGAAATCAGACATTAACTTGAATCTTTGTTTAATGCAGATTTTGGTGCAACACATCAAAAAACTTCTTCCAGGATTGAAATCATGCATTAGTGCTGGACTTGTGTATGTCACAAAGGAGCATGCGCTAGCTATGGAGAGATCAAAGAGTCAAAGCTAACTTTTTTTGTCTTCCGTCTTTACTAAGCACTGGCCTGAAGTTCTGGGGAGTTTATTGTCATAGTACTACCAATTATTGAGTCCTGAAGGGTTTCTTTCTGCTAAGTTTAATGTAGTTTATTCAGCTAGTGTTTATGAACTATTTTATTGGCATCATTGTGTTAATCCCCTGAATCTAGACTAGTATGGATGCACTCCTTCTGAACATTCTTTCAAGTACAGTCTACTGTTGTCAACCCCCTGAAAAATAACATGCGGTAACATCATGGATGGTTCATACACGGTCAAAGTCAGTTACCAACTTTTGATAAGGGCAGATGCTTAGTTTTACTTCTCAAGTTAACCTTACTCCTTTGTATAACCCTGAACAATTCTTGGATTTTTTCAGCTCTCTTGTATCACAATATGTTTTAATGTTTGCCCTTTCCAGAGTTGACTATCCCTACTTTAGTACATCTTGTGTCCTCTGGATGCTTTGTTATTATTAGTACACTTCTTACTTCGTCAAAAAAAATAAAATTCAATGAAATAAAAGAAAAGAACTCAATTTCATACCAGGACCATTGTAACTATAGAATGGATCAATGTAACCATAAGGACCAATCCTCATATCTGTTTCATCCACTGTAGTAGTGTCTAGAACCCCTCCAACTAGCATATCAAACTCAAATAGAAATGGATTGAAATTCTGGATAGATGAAACACAAAATAACTTCAGTCACTCACGAATTAATGAATACAATATAACAGAGTCTCGACGGCCAAAAATAATGATACGATGTGCACCAACAGAATGTAATTACAATATTGCACTTGATCAACCACTAAGTGAGATGGAGCGAAGTTGCGAATCAGGTATGATTGATTCCTATCATGCAGATAAGCAAGCAAGCGAGCTAATGCAAGGGCAGTCTTGACCCTCTGCAGCCAATTGAAGTCATCTGAAGAAGCAAAGCCGAAAAAGTAATTGGGATGTTTGTATCTCTCTTACCGATTCTTGGATAAAAAGATTCATTGCATGCCTCTTTCTTCATCATCAAAAAATAACTACAGATTCTTTGCTCAAAGGATTCAAAATTGCCTTAGGTTTTAACCAAAATATAGCTATAGCAAATGTAGTTACAACAGAAAATACATAAGGTTAAGTATGCATAAAAGATGAGTAAGGATAGATGTGAGAGTAAAAGGGCACCTTGGAAAATCAAGTTATGCAAGGTGTCAAGTGGATTAATATCATAAACAACGCCCACAATCTCCTTGCGACAATATCTAACAACTTTTATTAAGTTGGGATTGCCCCTAATCTTTGGAGCTTGCAAAAATTTCAATTCATCCTACACGAGCGCAAGCAATTTTTCCGAGTAAGCACAAACTAAGAGAACACTCAATAAATATAAAGAAACAAAGGATAAGGGTACACAACCATAAAATAGACACAAACCTCCAATCTTGGCAGTTCATCGTCATGTCTACGAGTCCTATAGTTCCTTTCATAATAAGCCAGAACTTTACCTAGAACAGAATCATCAGTGGGCATTCACACACAATAGTTCCTTTCATCCTCAACCAGAATCTTGACGGTAACATCCTTAGTAACTTTATATTGATCAGAAACAATGGGCAATTTCCCACGATAGAGCTTTCCTAAGTCAGTGACTCCAATAAGGTTCTCTGGAGAAAATTGACTGGTAAACTGACTCAGCTCCTCTGATGTGAATTCAAGAAGGTCATTCTCCACAGGGCATTCCTCATTTGACTTGGGGTCAAGAAGATCATCTTTAACGGGGCATTCCTCATTTGACCTGAGTTTAATAAGATCATCCTTAACGGGACATTTCTGGTAGACGCAACAACATCCTGTTAAGAAGTGTCACAACATTATAGAATCAAGAAAAAGCTAATTGCAATCCTTAGCCAAAACAACTTTTTAGTTTTCAAAAAAAGTTTGTCCTTGATTTAATTGTCATTCAGTAGTTCTTATTGTTATTGTTTTTAGAGTTGGTTAGATGATTGAATTTTAGTCCCTCTTCCTAGGGCTTCAAATATGGTTTTGGGATGAATTTAATAGTTAGCTATCAAAATTGAATAAAAACCTAAATTTTATATCAATATTTTCTTTCTTTCTTTCTCTTTTAGTTGAACTTGTCTTTCGAAACAACTCTCTCTACCTCTAAATCCATGAGTTAGTGATATGTTTGCATACATTTTATACTCTCCCAACCCCACTTGTGGGATTTTCACTCGGTATATTATTGTTGTTGTTTTTAGTGGAACTGTTACCAACTATTAATCCACAAAATATCACCAAGTATTTTGTATCTTCCCCACCAAAAGCATACAAACAAAATAGAAAAAGAACAAATTGCAATTCAAAAACTCAGATATACACATTGAAACCCTAGAAAAGTAAATAAATGGGAATATATAACCTAAAGTATAGCGGTGGAAGATACACACCAAAAAAGCTCCGGCGGGGCATGATCTTTATCCAGTTACAAACCAGTGAAATCTTTACAAAGAGAATGGTGAATTACCTTAACATTTAATCTATTTGATTATGAAAAAAAAATTAAGCTCCTATACACAAACTCGTACTAATTAATTTTTAGTATAATTGATCCCTAGACCCTAGAGATGGATGATTTTAACGTAAAAAAAAATATACAATCTTTGGAGGATACTTTTTTTCCCAAAATAAATAAATAAATTGAACAGTCTTGCAAAACCCCATAAATTTTCAGATTTATAATTTTGACTACAATGAAATTATTGGTGGGTTGAAGGTAAGATATGAATCTTCCCTCATTTTGTTTTTATTTGTTTAATTCATGTCCACATGACATAAAAATCTAATTTATTTTGCCATATTATTTTTTGTGACAAATTTGATTACATGATGCTATAAAAAAAAAATTAAGTTGAATAATTTTATTGATATAAAATAAATGTGAATAACTTTACTAAATAATTTCTCATAATTAAGTGATGTTTTAAAATGTTACTCGTTTCTTAATTATTAAGAAGAGTTTGGCCACTTTGTAACTCATAGAAGCTGGAGGAGCGACAAAGATGTTCTTTAGGTTGCATGATGCAAGCTGGACTCCTTCTTTAACAAGGGCATCTACCATCTTGTTGGCTTGTCGGAAGCTATGCCGGATGTCGAACTCCCCAACTTCCTCAACAGTGACCTGCAAGCCAAAATATAAGAATTATAAATTGGGTTTGTGTATTCCTGCAATTCTAATAGATCTGTGGAGTCAGTCTCAATTTCAAAGGAATGAATATTAATGGTAATGCAAATGAATCCATCAAAAAGCTACGTGATCCCGAATTAACATTAGACCATGTTTGAAGGCCTTTATTTCGGCAAAGATGTGATTTCGCACATTAACCCGAGAGCAGAATCCGATTACCCAATCATATCTACAGTTTCTAACCACCCTTTCAATACCACACAAGTCATCCCTACCAATTTGAGAGGAATATGCACCAACTATGTTGAGTTTGGGGTAGTTAGTAGGAGGGGGTGTCTATTTGATAACATAATCCAAACTATCACCTGGATGGTTGGTGGAAAAGATGAATTCAGTAGTACGATCTAGGACAATGCACGATTTTAATAAGAAGTATTTTTTGCTGTGATAGTTGTTATTTTGATTCAATCACAAGTATCAAAAGGGCGAACGAATAAAGGATATCCCAATCAACTCGTCGTTATTAGTAGTGTGTTGTAGGTCTCTAAGATGAAGAAGCTAGTAATTTTGCTAAGAAAGCTGACTAATGTTCAGACCAATGTTGAGCCAAAATTTTTGAGCAATATGACATTGTAGGAGCGTATGCTCAACAATTTCAATGGTATGGCAGACAAGGCAAAGATGGTTAGGTATGATACCCAATCGATGAAGGTATTGGGCGGTCGAGAGATGTTCGTGCGCGCTAGCCAAAGGAAGAATTTGATCTTGTTAAGAGATCTTATTCTTTATAGCCAGGCATGAGGAAAAGTGGTGCTGCCCCTTGAAATTCATGCATTTTTACTTGAAGATCATGTTATAAAACTTAAATTTAGAAGACATAATTAAAATTAAGCCATATGTGCATGAATTTGATGGAAAAAAACTTAAACTTTAGGCAAAAATCAACAAAGTTAAGCAAAACTAGTTGAAACCGTTTATGACTAAAGTTCAAGCAAAATCAATTAAAGCCATGTAGAAAAAACTAAACTTAATTATAATAAAATGGTTGAAGCCACATTAACTTTATATAATTTGGTATAATATGCGAGGGAATTACTATTGGGGTTGGGGCTTGAGACAGAATTGGAGACGTAAAAATAATAATCATGTATTAGCTTTAGAGCCGTCAATGTGGGCTAGGCCTGTTGGGCCAATCTGGCCTAATCCGTAATTGGATAAGGCTGGGCTACAATTTTTTGAGCCCATTTAATAAAAGATATTTTTAGCCTGGCCTGAATAAGCCTATCAATTTGTGGGCTTGATAAATATGGATAGGGCCGGCCCGTGGGCCAAATAAAAATTAATTAAAAAATAAAAATAAAATGGAATATTAAAAATAACAAGAGTTTAAACTCAAAATCTGTTTAAAGTTTGAATTATTACAATTTAAATACAAATTATATTTATAAAATATGTACTACATAAAATAAAATTTTCCTAAAATTTATAGGGAATCACTACATAGGTCATAATCTATGGAATCTTGTCATAGTTTTTGTGTCTTATTATGATCATTGGAAAACAATTAGGTTAATATTTTTATTTAGCTATTTATGTTTTTACTTGAAATCAAACTTAATAAATATCATAAAAATAATTTTATTTGTGCATTTGATTAACAAGTAGTAACACTAACACCATGTAATGTTGTCTTGTCGATATTTATGATAATATTTTAAAATTATAATTTAAGCTAAAAAATTATAAAAATATATTTTTAAGAAAAGAGGGCTGGCCTGGCAAATCCCATAACCCATGTACTTGTGGGCTGGGCCGACCATTTTCTGGCCCACACAAAAAATGGGCTAGCCCTACCTGACCCATCAAATTGCAAAACATGTATGAGTTAGCCCGGATGGGATGGGCAAGGCCATATTGACAACTCTAATCAGCTTTGTCAAGTTGTTGATTGAGTATTTTCAAAATTTTAGGAGTTGAATTGATCACAAGTGTTTAAGATTAACTTAAACCATTGTCGTTGATAATGTAAACTGTAATTGCATTGTTTAGATTTTATTAGCTAGCATACCATCACTACTTTGTTCTATTTACTGTTAATGAATCATGATTAACCAAAACATTAGAGATAGATATTTGATTAGACTTTTAAAATCTATTTATTTTTTATAACTTGTATTTGATTAATAAGTTTTAGACCATCTTCAATCCACCTATATTTTACTCTTCATTCTCTATAGTTGGAGAGTAAAATAGAGTATGCCCTCTACAACCCCTCTCTATATCACTCTCTATACTCTATTTATAGAGAGGTGAATAGTAGTTCTCCTCCAAATTTGGAGAATTACTATTCACCTCTCTATTTCACTTTTTGAATATTTTATTATTATTTTTATTACTTTTTAATTAACATATTATTTTACATACAATCTCATTAATTAAATATCTAATATTCATACTTCTTTTTAAATATAATATAATATTTTAAAAAATA